TTGCCTCACAGGCCTTTGCTGTTATTGCTGATACGCAGGATATCTAACCATACTCTATTGATACTAGAGATAATTGATATGTAGAGGCCACCTTTCGGCCATGTATTTAGTAGGAATCTTTCTTTGCGTGTATCTGATAAGGAACTGTTGCCCTCACTGGGTTTCAAGACTTATAATTCATGTCCTCATGCCCCATGTTAACTAAAGTCAGCTTTTAAGGAGAAAGAATGAGGCAGATGAAAAAAATGGCAGAGCAGAGAGAAATATATTTTGAGCTTCTTCTCACCTCCCATTCCCTTTTCTGTCGGCTTGCCCCTAAGGAGTATGCCGCTATCGCCTATAATGCTAATAAATTGATGCCAATGTTATCTCTATACCTTCCTAAAATTTTTAGGGCCTGAAGTCCCAATATAACCTAGAGTGTAAACTGAAAATTAGCAGTTTTAGATTCTACCTGTGGTCAGATCAGTGAATGGGACTCCTTTGTTTATGCTTTTGCTAGATGAATATTGAACATTAGTGTATGTTGGGTGTTAAACAGGCTTTAGGTCATGGAATTAGCAGGGCAGACATATTCCTATTTCCCTGAAGATATAATTTTAGATGTGAGCTCCTTCAATTCTGTTTCAATAAATTTACCACTAACTAAAATGTTTAATACTTAGTTTATGTGTCTTAAATATTCATCTACTTTAGGCTAATAGTCTATGAAGAGACACTTCTCTGCCCCAAGAATGGATTTCATTCTAAAAACAAAGACTTGACTGTCCTACCAATTTGATTTGAAACTGTCTCATTGCTATTTGTTTCTCAATAAAATTATGGAGAAAAAAATAAATAAAAATAAAAAATAAAAAGAAAGACTTGGACACATATGAAAAAGTGTTCATTAATCTCAAATACATATGTGAATGTGGTAAGTATATATGATGTGAATTTATCATTATAGTTGAGAACTTTTAAAGAATTGTTGTATAGGTTTATTAGGCCTCATGTTTGTGGCTACTTGGCAGACTTGAAGGAAAAATGAAGTTCTACCACTAGCTGAAACATATGCACAAGGTATATTTTTCTTAAAAGGTGGGAACAAAAGTATTGTTCCAATTCCAGGCAGAATCTTGAGAAATTTGAAGGCGAGGAGATCATGGATAAAATTTTCTCAGCCTCTGAGGGTGACACAGAGAAGGAAATACACTGATTGCTTTCTGTGTCCCCTTCCTAAGGGAACAGACTGTTATGTTTTGTTAATTTATCTTTGCTGAATGCAATTCTTCTGGAAAACCAAGAACAAAAGCATCCAGTGGTTTTGTTGTAGGCAGCTGAATTAGATAGAAGTATTATAGGCAGCCATACAGTGCTAGGCCCTTTAGGAGACAGCATGGATGACGAGATAACTTGCAAATGTGTTACAGACAGACACACTGCTGTGGGCCAGACCTAAAGACCAAAGATCAAATGCATAGCTCCCTAAGGATGAGCTTCTAGGACTGATGGGTAATCACCTGAGGATGCCAGGAAGGGTCACTAACCCAACCCTATGAGAAAGCCCATGTCCTATATTCATGCCCACTTGCTACATGACTCACTTTCCCATCTGGTCCTACATTTAATCAATTTTAGCTAAGCAATTGTGCTTATAACTTTATTGGTTGACCATAATTTTTGTCCCACATCATGTGCGAGTTCCCATGTTTTTTTGCACCTTAGATCTGCCTTACCTCATGGTTTTTCTCTATAACAATTCCTAGAAACAGCAGATACTGGGGCAACCTGCACTTAACTGCCATTATTTGTAAAATTCATTCTTCAGTTTTACAGAACATGAACTCTTCCCAGGCACTTTTCAGGTTGGGAGTGTTATTCCTCTATGTTAATTTTCCTTTTAGTCTGCACATCATCAGACGAGGCAGCAGGATGATCGGTGTTACACCAGTGCCCAAGGCCCTGTAGAAACCCTATAAATATGTTTCATATTTAGATTTGGATTTCCAGGACTACTGTTGAAAATCCTGCCAAATTTACCAAAGTGACACATCAATATGGTTTCAACAACTGGAAGCCAATCCTTGGGATTTGACATAGGAAATATTTTGAGACATCTGACCCAGAAATCCAGAATCTGTCCTTTGTCATTATCTGGGAACTTAAACACATCAATTCCAGCACTAGTCCTGTTCACATTTCTACCATCTCAAGTAAGGATTTCACATTAATTGAAATTCTATTCTTTTTCCAGTGATGTCTAAATGTTTTAAAAATGAAAAAATATAATGCATGCATTTTGGAAAGATTTCAATGTGATTTATTTTTTCTTGTCTCTTTGAGACAGGGTTTCACTTTATAGTTAGCCCAGGCTGGCTTCAAATTCACAGTGATCCTCCTGCCTCCACCTCCTTCGAACTGGGATCACAGCTGTGTACCAGAACACCAGGCCTAGAATTTAAATTGTATTATTTTCTAGAGATCCATAAATGTGAAAATAATACCAAAACTTATACCATTTTTCCCATACTCGCTTACCTCCTTTCTGCCAAAAAGAATGCGAAGTCCTCAAGAAACTACTCTACCTGCATTTGTCATTCACCATATCTCAGATAAATGAGACTTGCGAGGGTATAAGATGTTTATGTACTAGGAGAAGCTGCCCAAGCCAAAGCAGGTGTACTGAAATAGAAATACTCTCACCAACTTAATGCCATAATCAAAAAATATTCAATTAACGACAGGCATTCCTCCTTTCTGAAAATGGTCTCTTTGTTCTCCCAGTATCTACCACGGTAATAATGAAGTCTCGCAGTAGCAGCAGCAGCAACATTCATGTTGGAAACCTGGAGTCCTTCGGCCACCCCACGCAGTGCTCTCTGCCTTCCTGGAGCCCCGCCATGGACTGCACAGACTGTGCTGTCATCAGGCAGCCAGCAGGTGACCACCGTCCCTGTAACAATGGAGCAGAGCTATCCTCTGCGGGCAAAAACAAAAGGAAGTAACCCAGTAAAAGGTGAATACAGTTTTTTCTGACTCAAGTGTTCACATAAATTGTTTGAAAATCAGAAACAACATTCAAGTTCAGAAACATACCCCAAACCTCCTGTTCTTATTCCTGGAAAAGTCTGCAGCTCTAAACAATCTTAGATATTATGAGAGTGTTTTGTGGATGAGAAGTTTTAGGTTGAGGTTGATTTTACTTTTTATGTGATTCTCAGAGATTCTTGACCTCCTCAACAAAAAAAGGAAAAAAAAAAAAAGTTCTAAGATAAAGAACTGGGCTTCCACCCCTAGGGACACAATGAGGAGCGAAAAGAGCAGGACCAGCCTGCTATGGGGCCACTTCTGACTGTGCCTTTCAGGCTTTGCCTTTTGGCAAATCAGGGCAGGTGCTCCACTGGCTCTCTGCTCAGTCCACAGCTGTTCACAGAGCAGCTGCTGTGAGCCACACTTCTTGGCTGCTACAGATCTACTGCTGTTAAGAAAAAGCAGAAAAATAGTGTTCCTATCATATGCTCTGCATCCAGTGAGTTCTAGTTCAGATGTTATCCCTGCCACTTCCTGTCCATGACCTCAGATGAGTTACTTGAACTTCCTTTGCTATCGTTTCCTCATCCAGAAAGAGGGTCATTATATACGTGCCCTATCTTTACGAAAACATGATGTGCAATGTATAAAGAGAGCTGGGTGGTGTGCAGTACCAGTTAGCACAGTGTGTTTGCCATTAGCAAGGAGTTTTCACCATATGTACAGGCCTCGTGCCTTTGGGGACAGCTTCAGGAAAACATTTGTCTTGGCTCCTTCGTCTTCTTGCCAGTAACTTCTGAGGATGTGTGAGAGATTCCCTAGAGATTCTATCAGGAGAGGATCTAAGAGAAGGGCGGATTCTGGATTGCAGCAATGTAAACAGGACTAATCTGGAACGGATGTGTTTATGTTCTCAGATGAAGGCTAGATGTATTTGAGAACCTGAGTCAGGAGTTGTTTCCTTGTGCTTGAAAGAAGCCCACAGATCCTGGGGGTCATGAGGCGGGGGAAGATGAGCAGGAAAGACTAGAGACAGGGACTTGGCTTGAATTCCAGTTCTGCCATGAACAGCCTGCATAATCTTCAGTGGGAAGTTCCCTCCCTGATGCTCATCTGTGAAGAAAAGTTGAGGTGTAAGATCCTCATGAGCTCTGAAATATTGCGATTTTAGAAAAAACCAAGGTCTTCTTTCCTGCACCCCCTTTTCTTCTTTGATCTGTGTCCTATCTCTATGACTTGTTCCAGTGTACTTACATTTGCAGCTGAGCTCCTTAAAATCTCTGACCCATGTTTCCCGGAACTAAATGCATCACAATATCTGGACCCAACATCGGGATCATGTCACTGAAAAATGAAACCAATGCTCAGAATTTCTTTCAAATTTCTCTCGATTTGGCTTTCAGGACCAAGGATGGAATGTTCCTGCTTATTTTATGTTTTTTTGTGTGACAGAAATTCACACAGTGACTGAGACCCATGTCTTTTCCTAAATTCAATCTAATTCTTTATTTTAGCTTTCTTAACAATAATTTTTCATGATTTTCTTTTACCTGGAAAGTCCTGGTGGACACTTGGGCCTAATCATTGTAAGATGACCTAAGAGGAGACTTTATTGAAATATTCACTCATCATTTAAGCTATTTCATTTCTGTGATCTTAATTTTTCCCAAATATTAGTTCCTGCGATATTGGCCTGGAAGCACTCTAGAAAGCAGACAGCCAAAGACAGAATGGAACATTTAACAAGGAATGTAAGATAAAATGCAATTTAAAACTTTTAATGTATTTATGCTTTCAAAAGATGGGATTAGGGAGTCTACTATATTTTAAGGCTAATATTTAGCCTGAGGGAGAAGTAATATGATATTATTGGTATATCTGAACATCATATTAAATACTGATGCTTTGGGTCAAAAGCAAAATTATAATCTTATCACAAAGTTTTAATATAGTAAAGGAACATTTATTTGGAAAGCTGTGTAAGGTTTTGTTTCTTCCTGCAGTAAATTGGCTCTGATGTTGTGGATGCTTTCTTTTAAGAATTAGAGTTTATTTCACATTTTGGTTTCTTCTAGAGGGCGATTCATGAAGTCTTGAATAGCCTGATGCAAAGGAAGCCACTTTTTGATAGATGTTTTCAGAGCTGTAATCCACCTATAGGAAAAACATTAGTTTAGAAAAGTTGGACTCTGAGGAGGTAACATGTTAATATATTTTCTCATTCTTTTCTGTTGAGCTTAAAATTAATGAGATTAACCATGCTCCTTAGTTTTGGGATTGATTAGGAAGGCAAAATACCAAATACGGACTATGCAATGATAGTCATAAAAATAAATTGGAAAAAATATAATCAGGAGGGAGTATCATGTTTGCAAATAGTGATTCATGGAACTACTCCTGCAGTGCTTTAGAAATTGTTATTAGTATTTTATTCTTTTCTATTTAACTTTAAAGTTGAGTTGATCACACCTACAGTAGTCAAATATTGCTAGGCAAACAAAATATTTTTTTATTTCTTTTTTTTTTGCATTTTTTAGGGAAGGGTCTACAGGGTGTTCAGGGTCTCACTGCTACATTGGACTCATAGTGATCTGCCTGTTTACAGCCTCCCAAGTGCTGAGATTACAGGAACTTGCTACTGTGCTGTGTTAGTTGATACATTGTGTCAACTTGACTGAATCAGGTCCAGCAGTTCTCAGCGGGGGGCCTAGCCCTGCAGGTGGGCAGAGCCCAGGAATTGAGAGAGGCAGGAAGCCACCCTGCCTGGTTTCCTGCCTCCTGTCCTATTTCAGTGGAGAAGTCTCAGTCTTTGGAGGAGCTTGATCTTGACAGCCATGCCACTTTGGTGGAGTTCCAATCTTCACTGTGGAGTGCCAATCTCTGCAGTCAGTGTAGAAGGAAGATAGAGGCTTGATGGACACCGCAGCTGCTGCTCCTCCTCTGCTCTTCATTGTTTATGAACTGCTATCATTTGCCTTGGAGCCAGTGGAATATGGACTGAATCCTCCAGTAACTATGAGCTAAATAAGCCTTTCCTTCCTTCACTTTGGGTGTCAGGTATTTGTCCCAGCAATGAGTAAAAAGTAGCTAAGACAAATGCTCAGTCTCAATTGCCATCTTAACCTACCCCGGGACAAAATATTTATTTATTGCATTCAAGAAAATCATAATGAACTCTCCAGTTAAGTCTTCTTTTCCTTCTTTTGATCTTTTTTTGTTATCAATTTTTAAATGAAACATAATCACTTCTCAACCTTTTGGCTAAGGTCAAGTTAGTATCTGTTCTCATCAGTTTAATAAAATAGGCACATATGACCATTATTTCCAGGGAAAGTGTCATTTAAAAAACAATACCAACTATGACCAAAACGAGTTGGCCAGAAGTGTTTCCAGCAGTGTCTTGGAAACACTAACTGGCTAATGCGCTTCGTGATTCTCTGAGAGGAGGATGCAGTTTGTGAGACTTAGCAAGCTTAGCTTTAGGGGTAAATGGAGTAGCCTGTGGGTCCAGAGTTCCACGCTCTTCATAACAGTCAGCTGCTCTGCTTTGAACTAGTTCCTTCATGAATCAGTGTTGTTTCTGGCTGATGAAGTCCCCTAAGAATCTAACAATGAGATGGAGATATCAACTTCCTCTCCTGGAAAAGCCAGTGGAATTTATCTTACGGCAGCTAACTCTAGCTCATTGGCCTTTGTTCTTATAGCTAGTTGAGCTCACCTTTAACTGCTATCCAGACTGCATTCCTGAGAAGAAGATTCTGGCATCACATACAGCTATTTGGTAGGCACTGTCCTTGGTAGGCACTGTCCTTGGTAGGCACTGTCCTTGGTAGGCACTGTCCTTGGTAGGCACTGTCCTTGGCTCCAACAAATTCTTTGAGGTGAGAGACACAGGCAAGCTTTACACTATGGGAGAAGGTTGAACAGGTCCTTAATCTCTTACCCCAAAAGGTCATTTGATGGGGATCCTTGTAATTCCACTTTTGTAGTTTTATTTCTTTGGCTTGAAACTATATCAATTCTTTCAAATGTCTCTAGAAATGTACATCATGTCATGTGTTTTACTAAGGTATTGGAAAATTCTTTGTTAGGCCATGTTCCTTTCTTCAGGCCTTTGGATAAATTGGTCTAGATCTGTGTGGCACCATCATGGAGCAGGGTAGGTAGAGGCAGGAGATGGAAGACCCTACGCATTTGGGGGATTAGAGTCAGGTTAGGGAGCCTGCAGGGATGGAGAGGATGCTCTTGGTACCCCTGAGAACATTGCACTGTTTCATAGTTTTGTCACTGTTAACTTTCTTCCTTCTATTTTTTTCAGAGTCATTATGAACTAAGTTTTCATTTGTGCATGCCACTTTGGATGCCGAAAATATCGCACACGAGCCAAGTTTTGTGACCTTCAGTGGCTTGTAATGAAGAAACAACCAACACATATGTGAAAAGAGGTAAAATAAAAATTGATGGATTGATGAATTACAATGTTGTACAGATTATGGTGCTAATGGGCTTTTCATATTGAAGCCTGAAGCAGTACTGACTTAGGAAGAACTGAAGACTAGTTTTCCTTTAAAAAATTCTTCTAGCAGAGTCATCAGAGGAGGCATCACAAGAGGATAAAATCCTAAGGAATATTAACTATGGAATCCTCAAAGAAAGGGAGGGATTTTATTGAAGATGTGGTACCAGAAAATAAGAACAAAGGTTTTCTACAAAGGCCTTGTCAGGAGCTATAAAAAACATGAACTATGAAGACCTCGGCTTACCGTTGATTTTCTGTTTTGTTGTCTGCACAGAAATAGAAAGTCTTGAATTCTTCCGATGAAGGTTTGAGTTCAATTACTGATTCTTTGAAGCTATGGATCTGTTCACTCACCCTATAGCCTTGCAGATATAGGCCACCTACAAAAGATAAGGAAAGAAAAAAGGCTGTGAGAATGGGGAAAGAGAAAGAAGGTGAACATATGTGATAGAAAATGTCAAGATGTTTTGTGTGAAGAAAGTCCCTCGTCCAGATTTCTTATTTTGCAAGTGAAAAACCTGAGACTTCAGAAGACTATATAGTGTAAAGTTACACATCCATTAACAACAAGTAGCAAGACTATGATAGAATTTGAATTTCTGGGCTTCCATTTGTGCAATTTTAAACTATATGATCAACATTTTGTTTTGGGTAACTGTATGCCAAAATTAGTTTCTTTACCAGACGACACATTTTGAAATAAAATTCTCAGTGTCAAAGGATGATACATATAACATCCCATTCGAGGAAAATCCCAGCATTTTCTGGGACAGAACCATTATAGTATGCTTTCAAAACAATAATAATCAGGTTGTTTCTACTACCAATATATATTCTTTGTGGAGACACAAAGCATATTTAAAATATGAACCCATAGGGTGATATGAAAGTGCCATCTTGAATTAGTAATGAGAACAGAGGATTGACTTTAAAAGATCACACTTTCCCAGAGGTCCTTTGAACTCATGTTAGTAGTTATAACATATGTTGCTTGGCCTGGACTTTGTTTCCATTGTTTAGGAGTGTGTATGAGTGGGGCAGGGTGTGTGTGGGGGTGTCTCAGTAGAGGAAAGATTTCTGAAAGCTCAAAACCCTTGAGCTGGGGAGATAGCTCAGTGGTGTAGGCATCTGGCAAGTGCAAGGTTTTGAGTTTGATCTTGGTGCTAAACCCCCTCAAAAAATCTCTAAACCCTTGTCTGTGTCTTATGATTCCCTGAAGGTGCGAGGTGCCAGGTCTCCACACAGTCCCTGTGGTGGTGAAGAGAAGATGTGTAAAGCTTTCTTCCTCCAGCACTCTCTTGCTCTCATACCCTGACTTCCCCAGGACTCCTGAAGGGCACCACAGTAACAAGGAAAGCATGAAAACAGCACTTGCATCTGTGGTGCTCTACTCAATAACTATTCAATGCCAATTTATTAGTAAGGGATTGTGAAGGGAAGACCTGGCCCCTTGGAATGTGGCTTCTGTGACATGTCCTCAAGAGGTTCCTATGCTCACAGCTGGGGCTTTGGGAAGCTGGTTGGACAGTAGGGCCTGGTAGCCGATTGAAGTTGCTGTTAGGAGGAAAGGTCGGGTTGGAAGAGGGCGCTTATGGGGTGTGGGCCAGAAAGGTTTATCTTCCTCTCCAGCTCCTCCCTTCTCTCTCTTGCTTCACCCAGTCATGAGCTGCTCTTCCTCTGCGATCCCTCTGTCCTACCACCTTATCTTGGAGCCAGTGGCCTATGGCCTGAAACCTCTAGAGACTGGGGACTAACAGAAACTTTTTTCTTTATGTTGGTGGTGCCACATATTGCTCCTCAACAGCAGTGATGAGGGAAATAACCAAGACCTTGGCTTTTGCTTTCCCTTTGACTTTAGACAGCACCAATGTACACCATCTCTGCAAATGAAAACTTTCTTTTTAAACAGAATTAATGATTCAGGGATTTCAAAAATTAGGAACAAGTCTTACTTGTTTTATGGAGGGTTTGATGCAACATTAGATATCTATTTCCATTTAAGAAGAGTCCATTTTATTTTTATTTATATATTTCTATGTATTTAGTCCAGAGTCTACAGGGTCTCACTACTAGATTGGACTCGTAGTGATCCTCCTGTTTTCAGCCTCCCAAGTGCTGGGATTCCAGGCGTGCACCATCACGCCCAGTCTCAATCACTGTCTCAGCATGTCCCAGGGGTGGGGCTGGCATAGCACGCCGGGGATTGAATCCTGGTCCCTGTGTCTGCCTAAGCAGGCACTTTAATCCACTGAGCTATCTGGCTGGCCCAAGAAGAGTCCATTTTAAAACTAACTTCCATGAAAGCATTTCTGTTTTAGAAACATATATTTTTGCCTTCAGTAGGCTTCAATATATGGTGCTTACTAAAACCAGAGGGTGATTTCTTTCATATATTTACATCTATATATTTATATATAAAGGAGTTCAAAACAGCTTTATTGAAATATGATTAATATATCATAAAACTCACTCATTTAAATGTACATTTCAGCACTTTTCATGTAATTATGGAGTTGAGTCAGCACCACTGGAAGCTCATTTTAGAGCATTCTCCTCACTTCCAGAGGGAGCCTCGTGTGCCTCAGCAGTCGCTGCCGTGTGCTCCACCAAGCCAGCCCTCGTGCAGTTCTGCTCCTCTTTGGGTTTTATGAATTTTTTTTTCTGAAACTTTTCATACAAGTAAAATTCTACCCTGCCTTGTATCTTGCGATAGGCTGCTATACTTAGCACAGTGTTTTTGCGGTTTCTCATTGTAATATCCCACATAAATACTTCATTTCTTTTTATTGAGGAATTATTTTTCACTGTATGGACATATCACATTTAGTTGATTCATTCATTCACTGATGGACATTTAAATTTTTTCTAGTGTTTTAGTTATTACAAGTAATGTTGGTATGAGCATTCATGTACAAGTTTTTTTCTTTTAACCTAGATATGTATTTTCAGTTCTTTGGGCATATATTGCAAGTGGAACAGGCAGAGTGGTAGACAGTAGAATACCTAATGAAGCATCACAGCGTGTTTTCTATCTAAGCTCCAAACACTAGCACACAGCACTTATCCGTTTCTGCATTGGTTATTGCATTGGTTTTTCTCTGCGTAGGCTTTTCTTTTCTGGCTAAGACAGAACACCCTTCCCTTTCTCTAATCTTTTTGACAATGGATAGATTTTTGTCCAAAATCCTGCCACAGAAAAGGCAAGTTTTCTAACTCTTTTCCCAATCACTTGTGGGCTGATCCACACTTGGCAGTAAAGCCATGGAGTTCTGACCTCATTACACCCCTGGAGACGGCTTCACTGGGTTTGTCTTTGTTACCAGGAGAATAGTGATAGTGCCCAAGTCGGCACCGTGTCAGCTGCAGAGCCGTGTAAGCATTACGTTTCCCACTTGCTGATATAATTTAAACTATGTATTTCTGAGAAGTACACAGAGACCGTGATGTGATTTATTCATGAAAGGTAGTCAACAGATATGATTTGTTCCAGCCACATCTTGCTGGAGAGCAATAAAAGGGAAAAAAGTCATCAAGCATATGATGAGTGGCAAGGGCCTTTGGGCCATGGAAAGGCATTCAGCTAATGGGGCTTCTGGAATACTTACGCAGTGGCTTTTAAATATTAGCAATCACATGCAAGCCAACGATGCATATTCTTCAAGGGTAACACTTGCCTCAACAGAGAAGAAAGCCTTCAGGGAACTGATGAGGCTATCTCTCCCTTTCCCACATTACACTTTAGAGGATATTTATCTAGCTGAAAGTAAAATGTGCGATTAGTAATGTCTAGCAGAGTTCTTACAGGAAGCTGTAAGAACTGTCTTGCTTCCCACATCTTGCTGCATTCTCCTCTATTACTTTGATCCTTTTCCTGATCTTCCTTCTTGTCCTTAGTATCCCTTTAGCTTTTAGATTATTGTTATTATTAGAAGAAACAAGTAGTCATGCCAAGGAAACTACAAAACACCTTCAGAAATAGAAAACATCACATGAGCACTCCCGGATCACAGGTGGAAAGCATAAATCAATGAGTCAAATAAAACTAAAATTAACAATATATAAAACACCAAAGCAATTGAGGTGCTGTGGCTGAGTGAGCGGGTCCCAGGAGCCAGGGTCTAAAGAACAAAGCAATGTGTGACAGGCATGTTACTAACATATTTGAAAGGAAGCAGCCTTTTTACATACTTTGTTTCTAAGATTCTGAACATAAAATTGACCACTCTACCTTCCCCTTGGAGCCAGGGTCTTAATATGTGCCTAGATTGGTCTCTAACTCTCAGGATCAAATAATTTTTCTGTCTTAGGCTTCCAAGTGCTGAAATTACAGGTGTGCACCTCAGAGTCTGACTTACAGCTGACCAGACACATACTGTTTTATGTCACTGGTTACATGATTTTTTAAAAATTGTGACCTAAAGGGATAATAAACGTACATCTACATGGTTTCCTGTTATTGCCCAAGAGTTTTGTAAAATGCTGTGAAGGATGTGTGACAGTTTTTATTCCATTAAATTCTGTCCACTTGTTTTTAAAATATTCATCACAACCAAGTACAGGGATTGCATGACTCACTCACAGAATCCAACTTCAGATCTGAGAAGTGCTGCCGTGAGCAGTAACCAAGGGCTGCTGCGGGGCTCGGACAGGAGAATAGGAACTGGGTCGGTATGGGGTGTGCAAGGCTAAGGAGATGCAGCGCACTGCACTGCAAGTAGAGGAGGAGTTGGGGATTAGACCAGGATCACATACGCAGCATCACTTAGCAGAACTGCAAATGAGGATGAGAACTTTGTGTGGTTTTCATGAATGTGATAATGACTCGTGTTCCACCCATAGGTAAGTTGTGTATGTGAACAGGAGTATCACAGTGCTTGTAGTAGTCACAGCACAGCATTGCTGTAGCCGTTCTCAGCAAATTCCTCTGCCATCCCCTCAGTTCCTATGGTTCCTGTGATAAATAATTGCCTGGTGGACCTGGACAGATTCAGTCAGTGTGCTGATGCCTGGAGTGCAAAAAGCAGACATGTCATTTCTGAGTTAGCGCTCCTCAAGAGGAGCAATTTCTGCAGAAGGCATGTACTACGTACAGCATTGTGGCTAGAGTTTGTGTAGAAGATTCAAGCAAAGTTTGTTCCCACTTGGCTTCTAATTCCACCGGTCTCTATGTTTCTGCCCTGTGATGGGAAATGAGCAATGTGTGTGATGGAAATACACGACGGAGCTAAGGCTGCTAAGGGTCTAGCCTGTCATCCTCAAAATGAAGAAAGTTCTTAGTGCTGATGTTCCCTGTCTAATAATGCACCTAAGAAGTATATTCTGTTCCTCTGAGACAACGTGGGTCGCCAGGGCAGTGATTATTCCTGGAGGGTGGAAAGGGCGTATATTGACTTGAGAAGTCACCGCAGGAGATCTGGTCATGACTCCATCCTGTCCGGGGTCTGATGCTGGATTCTGGCTGTGAGCCTCTGGCTAGCATTCAAGTCAAGACCAACAAGAGACTTGAGTGGACCCCAGGAAGCAGGTGTAAATTCAGATCTAAAGCACGTCAGGAGAGCTCCTACACAGCTCCCTCAAACCGGAAGAAAGCTTAGCATCTGGTGAGCCCCCAGGAGCTCCCCTGGGAACTTGGCAGCAGGCGTGGCACACTAGGTTTTAGTTAAGGAATGGTAGAATCCTGTACCAAAAGCAAGGACAGCAACAAAGTCACAGATCTCTATTTTAGAACATGGCCGAGGGATAAATTTCATGTTGGAATTTCAGTAAGGAAAATATTGTTTTAATCCATATTTGAGACAATTGGTCATAAATTGAGGATCTGTTGAGATGGGAATATTTAGGAAGCAAGGCTGGGAAAGAACAAAAGGCTTATTTTGAAGAGAGAACTGTAAAAGGAGATAGAAGTTAGATAATTCCTTACAGCTGGGCAGAATGCAATAGCAGAACAGCAAGATGCATATGGTGCACTGAGTACTAGACTTGCCTTTAAATTAGCTGTGCAATCTTCAAATCTTTGTCTGCTACTCAGTGGGTGAAAAGACTCATAATTCATAGAAATAATGGCCCATTGAGGTCATCATGGTGTCCATTTCTTAATTTCTTAATCACTGGTAAATATTATGTCATCATTTCTGGAACACATGATTCTCTTGAAAAGATAAGCTGATCATCAAGAGATAAAATACAGGCTAGAATGTGATAGGTATCAGGAAATAGGTAACTTCAGAAAAGTCATGTTTGTGTATCTAGAACCATTAAGATTACTTTAGAGCAGAAATAGAGTGCATGTATAAAGGCATTTATGGGCTGGGGAAACAACTCGAGAGTCTAAGCACCTGCCTGGCAAGCGCAAGAACCTGGGTTGGATCCCTGGTACAGCATGCCATGCCAGCCCTGCACTGAGCCAGCTACCCGAACCGGGCATAGTGGCACACACCTGTGATCCCAGCACAGGGGAGGTTGAGATAGGAGGATCATTGCAAGTCTGAGCTGGGTATCAAGACCCTGTACCAAGTAAGTAAATAAATACAAGATTTAAAAAATATTTTTTTTAAAAAAAGACATTTGCAAGACAGCAAGTCCTGGGTGATCAGTAGGTACAGAAGACTCCAGGGAGAGGACAGGCCGAAGCACAGGTACAGGAGCAGAATCATGTCTGGGAGACGCGATGAGCTAAGGAAATAGAATACAATGCTCTTTGGGTGGACCTCGGGTGCTTTACTGCACGGATGGAAGACAAAGCCAGGTTAGGGAGTGGAGGGAGAGGTGAAGCCCGACTGTGCTCAGCAGGCGGTCATGGAAGGCTCTGGTGTGCAGTGACGAGGGCCCTACGTGGGCAATGCTTCCAGTTTTTCCTACACCTCAGTAGCTTCTTTTTGTTGGCATAACTTAGGCTACCTGGGCTTAAATTCTGTCCTCACAGTTTACTGTCCAGAGGAAGTCGGGCCAATTATTTAACCTTGCAAAGACCAGTTTGTGAGTCTATAGGTGAAGTAGCCTACTTTTTAAGGCTCTTTTAGAAATGAAATAAGCTGATGGGTAAAAACACTTAGCAGAGAGATGGGTACAGGAAGCTGCATTCCCGAGTGATAATGGCTGCTTTTACTGTCATTATTTTCAGGCCATTTAATTATAGTGGCTTGCAGCTGTCTAACTAGGACTTTCCTACCCAAGTAGAGCCTCCTTGGAATCAGGGAAGCCACCTGGTAGTTGTCAAGACTGTTCTTGTTTTTTTGGGGGCAGGAACAGGGGATTGAACTCAGGCCCTTGCGCTTGCCAGGGAAGTGCTTATTCCACTGAGCCATCTCCCCAGCCCTTCAGGACTGTTCTTAAACTCTCAGAATCAGGAAAGGTTTCTGGGTTCCAGAGGTTTGGAAGGCCTTCCTTAACATCTCAGAGATGGGAGAAATAGGCACCGGCTATCTTAAAGCGCTCGCCTCCTACTTGTGGAAACGTTCTCTTGAAAATTACCTTAATTGATTTGCCAATTAGAAGGGCCCAGCCTTTTGCAATGATATTTCATCACAAAAATCCCAGTCAGTGACTGTTTTGGAGGTTTAATTGATGTGTTTTGTTTGCCTTAATTCTTCTGTTGGTTTCAGCTGTGCAAGCCCCGCGTGGGTCGCACAGAAACAGCCTGGTCTGGGCAGGCCTAGCGTTGCAGTCCGGCTCTGCCCCATTGTGCGATAAGGGAACCACGCTGAACGCTGGAAGCGTGACCTGGCAGAGGCGTAGAGGCGCTGCGGATCCGAGTCAGCAGGGGCTGTCAAGCGATGCTGCCTATTTCTGGAAAACTTCCAAAAAAGTCAAAATGGCCACGGGATGCCAAAATGGCCAAAGGACCCTTTTCCTTTGGCACATTTAATTAGCTTAATTAACAACGGCATTAATGCAAAAAGTGCAAATCAAACGACTCAGATTTCAGGATGTTTACTGTCGCTAATTATTTAAGTGTTATTCATATGGAAAAATCTAATAGCAAATAAGACTCCACTACATAGTTCACTATGTTAAAATTGCAAGAAAGTTAAAATCCACTTTGTGAAAAACATATATAATTATTATTAGCTAAATTATTTAGATAATCATTTATTATATAATTTAAATAGTATATATAATTTAATAAGTATATATAATGAAATGTACGATAAAGGAACACACTCTGCACAGAGAGTTCTTTATATAGAGAGTTATATGGGTAAATAACCTTTGTCATAGCTGCTGTTCATGTCACTTCACAAAAGTCTTGTGAAACAGCAGTTATTTTCACTTTATAAATGAGGAAATTAAGTTGTAGTAAATTAAGCCACTTGTTCACAGAAAGTAGTGTTCTTTTTTCCAAATTGGAGATACTAGAGGTGCAGTCCCAGAGAAGAAGATTCTTACTTTGATGAGAAACAGAGTGGAAGAATTTATATTTCCCTGTCCTGAGCAGTAGAACTGGGGGATTAAGGCTCTAAACTCTGGAATTTGCCTGTTTGTGTTCAGACCTCAGCCTCATTGCTTAACCTCACTACTCATTATTTGTCAAATTATGGAGACTTTGCAATCAAAATTCTAATCTGTAAAATGGGAACAGTGAGAGTATCCCGTCTCTTGAGGACTGATGAACTAACTTAGATAAAACACAGACCAATAAAAGCTCAGTATAGCTATTATAGAAACTACTGCTATTTTCGATAGTAACTCCTTACCCAAGGCCTGCGTGGAGCGAATGCTGGCATAGAAATATAAGCAGCCGTCCTTCAGGATGCAGTAGTGCTGGACCCACGAATCCATGCTTCTGTCCAGCTGGTGCAGGAGACCCAGGCACTCGGGGTTCTTGATAGCCAGGGGCGGGAGGCTGCTGTTGTGCAGAGTGATGTCTTCCCACACATGGCTCTGCAGGCGGAGCACAAAGGGTTCTCTGAGTGGTCACCTAGCACCAACGGCCATTGAGTCCAGGGCCAGTGGCTCCAAGTCTGTCTGACTTTCAGGAAGTCACTGCCCTGAATGGTCCTGTTACTAAGACAGTCTGAAGACTTGAGTAACAAGCTCAGAAGCTGTAACTTTTCCATTGTCCATAGAGAACTTTTCCTCCTTTTCAAACCCATCGACATCCCTTCTCCTTGACTTCTATTACATTCAGAGAAAATCAAAAGACCACAAGCCGAAAAACAGGAGGATCAGTACAGAAAAAAGAAACAGAAATAGACACCTCAGCATGGTCCATTTCTAACATCTCTGTCTATCAGTGTGGGGACTGAGTCCCTCATCAGAGGAATTGTCCTCCTGGGCCTGTCCCTGCTAAGTCGACTGTGAGTAACAGCAGTCCCGGGGTCCTGCTTTTCTCTACTGGGACCCCCATTTGTGTGGATAAACAAGTTAAATGCCCCAGGCCAGCTCAGACCCGAGGCTCTCAGAGTCAGTCATGTGGAAGGCTGATGATAAATGGAGATCCCATACCCTGGAGGGCAGTCCTCAGTCCCCAAGCCTGCGAGACAGGCTCTTTCTGAGAACTCTGACCCAAAACTGGAGGCACTGAGCTTTATCTCTTTATCAGAGCACCCTGCTCCTGGTTGCCATTTTTTCTTTTCTTTGTTCGGTTTTATTTTTGCCCTTTCATCTTAACAAGGAGTAGAAAAAGATTCCAGACTGCAGAGCTGGCTCTATTATTTGCTGTGAGGTGGAAGCCTGCTGAGAGTGGGGTGTGCGTTTTTCCACTTTGCTGCAGACACTCTGAGTGCATTAGCAGGGCTTTTAACACTACCCCAGCTTATTACCATGAGGCTCGGCAAGGTGGGCGAGTGCATTAAATGTAGGGCCGCAGATAAAAAGAAACTAATTGTTTGTCATATGGCGATGCTTGTGATTGCCCTGAAAGCAGTTAGAAGGCAAGGTACATTCATGCTCAGATAATCTGATTTTTTTTTTCAAATGTATAAGAACCAAATTATGTAGAGAAGATAATTGAGAGTGAAAGCCTTCTGTTCCTCTGCCATTTTGTGAGGAAATAAGCAAACTGTAGGACAACCTACAGCCTTGTTGGAAATTATACCCAAAGCATAAAAATGAAATAACGGGGGCTGAAAATTTTCACCCCAACAGGTTGTAGAATAAGCTCAGGAAGAGAACTATCAAGTGGCTTAGGCAGAGACATGATTCACCTGTTGATATTACGAAATTGTCTATCAGTTTGCAGGTAAAAGGAAGGAAGAAATGCATTGCTCTGAAGTTGATAATGGCAAATGGAAAGGGATTGTGAAAGCTGTCCTGATGTGTCTATGGTATAAGGCTATGAACATAAAGCATGGTAAACCTGAACAAAGTGTACTCATTCTCTAATAAGTTGCTCAGCCAATCCCAAGATACCCCTGAGATCTTAGGACAGCAGCACTGTTCCATCCTCAGAACTATTAGACTGCTCTGTGCAAAACTGAAATTCCACCCCGTGCAACTCCTCACTGCGTCTTACTAGAAGAGATGTTATACAAATCCCCCAGATAAAGGCAGCAGCAGGAATGTTAAGCTTCCCTGCGGGACACAAGCAGAAAGTCCTGTTGACTTAAAATCTCCTTCGCCAGATTTCGGAACAGATCTGAGCAGCCCAGGGTGGACTGCAGGTCAGTTCACTTATCTCTTCCACCCCCTGAGAAGCAAAGCTGGGATGAAGGCAGAGATGAATGCTGAGGAGCCTTGCCTGGTGGGTGGGATGGGCAGCTCTGTCCATTGCTTCAAGCCACCTGAAAGACAGGAAGATGAAAGGAGACTAGGTAAGCATGACTCAACGTAGAGGGGCTTGTTCTTGCTGAATCATATTTTAGACAGAGCAATCCTGGGACTCAGATGGATGGCACTGCTCTAAATTCTTGAGTGAAGAACAACACATTCTTGTAAAGATAGTGTTATTGTGTGGCAAAAACCTCAGCCATGCCTGGTATAGTTTACATCTTTATTGTAATTTAATTACTTTATTTTACCAATGCACAGAATTTATTAACATCAGCAGGGCTGATAACCATTGGTATAAGAACTGGAAGGCTTGCCTCTGTCATGTTGCCTAGCTCTTCTCCTTGTTCTCTCTTCATTGTCTAGTCCTCAAATTCTTGCTTTCCTTTTAATTATATCATACCTTTCTATTTGTATTTCTTCTTTTGAGTTCTTATACTAGGGAAACTATATGATATTTACACATGTGTGTCTGGTTTATTTCACTTATGAGTACATCTTCAACTGGATTATTTTGGAATATTTTGCTGAGTTCACACACCTATAATATTGAAATGACGGAACTAACCAAAAAAAGGGGACACAGATGAATGACCATTTCTATCTGTGTATTCAGAATGGTTAGGATAGATATATAGTTACATTCTCTTAATTCAAGGAATAGAGGGATTTGTTCTAATAGTGTTTGTAAATAGGCTATCGTGTTTGCATCTTGTACAACAAATAACCACTAGGAAGACAGTATGCAATGTGTTAATTATTGAAACTGTCCTACCAATTTGATTTGAAACTGTGTCATTGCTATTTGTTTCTCAATAAAATTATGGAAAAAAATAAACCTACAATAAAAAATTCATAAAAAAAAAGAACTGGAGAGCACTGGTCTTAAACGTGGAAGTACAGATAAATGGCCATTGTCCTGCATCCTCTCTCCAAGACACTGTGGCTCCTCTTAGTTGTCCCTTCTCAAAGACTGAATTTGCTTTATCGTGTCTCTGCCAGGCACCAGCTTATCCACCCCATCCTATCTTGGCAATCTTTTTCAGTTTTCTTTTAAATCCCCTAAATCCCAATCAAATCATACTGTTTGCTGTTTCCCTCAAAGCTTGGTTTATTTCCTTTGCCCCTTATGTTCCATTTCTTCTTTTGTATGCTTATCTGATCCCATGACACATTTTTTGGAAATAACTCCCTTACTTTCACATAGAAAACTCCTAAATTCCTGTGGCACTTTTTCTTCCCTTCTCACACTTCTCAATTTTTATTTTGCATTAAAAATGTCAAATCAATGTTCGATATTCTTAGAGTAATTTTTCTTTAAGGCAAGGATTGGCTCTTCATCATATTGATAATCCATAAAAACTTTAAGACAACATCTTAGGCATATATCAGTTTACACAAAACTGTTTTGTGCATGTATCAAAATACTGTCACTGAAAGGAACAATAAATGTTTAATTGTTTGATCAGCCTTGCATACCTATATCTGGTAAAGTGAGCAACTACTTTGAAGATAACAATATGTAATATAACAACAATTGTTAATGTCCCATGACCTTGTTTTGAAATTCTGTATTTTTGAAGTTATTTTTGTTGGTTTGCTTTTGTTCTTCGCTATTTAAAATAGATTTTTTAAAAAAGAATTATCAGCATATTCCCTTGTTTGTCCTCTGAAGAAATAGACATTTGAGTACATAATTTTCTACACATATAGACCTTCTATTGTTTACCTCCAAAGTTTCAGGCCTGTTAGTTCTTTCAACATTGGAGCTGGGTCTCAATTCTTTGAAAGCGATATACTATGGCCACTAAACACTACTGACCAACTACCATTTTGTCATTAGCTCTTCCCCCACTCAATCACACCTCTCACTCCAAATGCACAGTACTTTCTCCAACTTCCACTTGACTCACTGGATTGACCAATGATTTCCATTCTTGTTGGTAGACACGTTGAGTAATGACGGTGGTTGCTATGGTCAGTGTCCATAGCCCACTGTCCCAGAATGCGTGCGTATTTCTTCCCCCGCACTTGGATTATATGCTTGCACACATCATTTATTTCCCTTCAAATCTTCTCTTTCTTTTTGCTTTTTCCTTTCTTTCTTCATCACCTCTCACTGCAAATTGGAATCTTGCTACAATAGTTTTATACTAATGACTGTATGTCAAATTAGCTTAAATACATAAATCTTGCAAGGGGATGCTATATGTTTGCTATGGGGATATTTAGCATTTTTAGAAGATACAAAATAAAGCAATTGAGTTAGAAGAATATACTTTAAAAAAATTCAGTTAGAAAAAACGAATGAATGATGAAGAAATACACTTCTTTTACCTAAGAACAAAACAACTTATTGACTCATGTCACAAATTCGCATTCTGTCCTGCTTCTAGTCCCAAGAATCTGTAAGACTGCTGCTGAAGAAGCATTCGCCCACTCAAAATGAAACAGGTGAAGTAAAAGATTAATGAATTATCATAGTAAAATTGGTGAGGCAAAAGTTGAATAAATTACCTTTTCATTTCTTGGTTTGAGGTTGCACATAGGCAAAAAATTCTATTTCCAGACTGAGGGGTACAGTTAAACACGAACGGTTTTCCCAAGCTGCTATCAATGGAAACTTCAGCACCTTCTAATTTTACTGTTTCTAGAGGTGGTAATTTTCCTTCATCCTGCAATTGATAAGGAAGATTTTCAGTATGGGCTCTATAACTAAGCAGATAAATGATAAAATAAGAGAACAAAGAAGTATTGAAGTGCTTATTTTGGTCCAATATGACAATAAAGCCAACATGGTTTGGTAGGTTACATTCTGCTTTATACAGCCATGGAACTTCAATTGTTTTTCACCTGAAATATTTTTCCCCATGATTTTTTTTTCCAGCTCAGCCCAACCTGAGGGTGGGGCTAGCATGGTGTGTGTTGCCAGGGATCAAACAGCAGTCCCCTGCACCTGCCTAAGCTTGCTCCCCATCACTTTGGAATAGCCTTTTTTTTTCTTTTACTATATGTTTAATTCATGCCAACTTGATAAAGTATCATTGATTTTTATATGTCACGGATTATCAAAGCTCACTTTTTCCATCAGAAAAAAGGAACACCAAAAGAAATTGAAATATCACAAAATTTATGTGCTTGGGGGAGGATGGTACAAGATGGCAGAGTGGTAAGCAGCAGAAAAAGAGCTTCTTTGAGAGTTGACATCGAGACACTGTAATATAGTAAGTAGCTCAAGGAAGACAAGAAGGAGGTAAGTGGCTCCTCTGGACCTACAAAGGATCTGAGGCATGAATTAAAGCCCATGGAGAGAGAAAAAGGGGAAAGTTCAAAAACCAAGGTGGTAGCCAGGGTACCTTCTCCATGAGTTGGAACTCACTGTGCTAGAGGAGCGATTCAAACCTGAAGATACATGGTGACTGCTAACATCAGCAGAGGTCTCCACGGAGAATGTAGAAATGGAAGGGAGCAATGGACATGAAGGAATGAACTAGCTGGCGGTGAGTGCCGAGGCCTCAGTAGTCCCCGTGGGCAAGAGTGATTAACTAGAAGCCATCTTGGAGAGACGCTAACTGAGCTCAGAGCTCAGAGCTCAGAGCAGCTGTGGGTTCCATCTAGCTGCTCCCAGCTTGGTGAGGGCCCCCACAGAGGTGTGCTGATGGTTGCAGGCTGAATGAGTCTGGTTTCCTCCAGAAGGTGCAGGTATAAATCGACACTTATTTGGACTTTGTCTCCAATGTGGTCTATCTGGGACCTGTGACAAACCTGGAAGTGGAATTAAGTGGGTCTCCCTGTCTCCCTGTCTCTCTCTCTATCTTTTTTTTATTTTTGCTTTTGTAGCTTTGTTTTTGTTTTCTTCTATATTGTTTGACTTGTTTTATACGAGGGTGAACATAGTATCTAGTCTCTTTGTGAATGTTGTTCTGTTTTCTTTATTTTTACCTTGTCTCTTTCTCTCCACTCTTCTGCACCAGTTTCCCAAAGTTAGCATGTTTCCCCTCTGTCTTCCAGGCTGTTTTAATCTCTTCCATTTCTACTACTAGTTCTCTATTTTCTCCCCACCCCTTATAAATAATCCCTGAGGGTAAAATACATATATGAAGGACTTTTATACTGTGTCTCATTTTCTGGCTAATTTTAGACTTTTGTTATATATCCACAAATATAGTTTGTAAGGTCAAAGGAGGCATATTAATGGTTACCTCAGTTTGTCATTTTCTAGGCTGTGTTTCACGCTATTGCTATTGCTGACTGTCCCACTTTAGACAAAAGTGACATAATTATTCTAACAGCTATATTTCCTGGTATTCTAAGACTGAGATTGACTAGGAGTCAAAAAATAATGTGGTACAGAACCAAAGAACCAGGGGCCAGTGCAAGCAGGCAGCAATATTTTCATTCCCAATAAATTAAAGAGGTGGGGTCTTGCAAAAAACTCAAACCTTAAAAATCAGCTATACCTGGAAGATAACTCAGAGAAGTAATCATTTTCCAAAGGTCCTAAATGCTAAAAATAAAGCAACTTGCTACAGGCAATTTACAAGCATCACTGAAGAAATTAGACTAAAAAAAGAAACGAAAATTCTAAGACACTTAAACAAGATGCAATCCCACATAATCCAGTTTACCGAAGGCAAGCCGAGGAGAAAATGAGATGGGACAACCCCAAAGCCATCCACCTGGCCTCTGAAAAGGGGCAACAACAAAGCAATTGAAGGAGGCTCTAGGAAAAAATCAAGTCAGACGTAATTACCCAGATAATTGCAGACTGTGCCCACAATATAAACAATGCTAAGTGACCATAGAGCAGGTACAGATAAAAAATAGAAAAGCTTAAGAAAACTGTAGAAGCCATGAATGCTGTGCATAGGAAAAAATGGAATCTATACAGCAGATTCAAGCAAATATTCTGGAGAATAAAAATTCATTAAGAGTATCTGCAGCAGAATAAACTGTTTTAATATCATTCTCACCAAATTCCAACAGTGTATTTCACAGAATCCAGTTTTAGAACTTTTTCATTGGTCCCCAAATTTCCTTGGAGATTACTTGAATCAACTGACATCATTTCCCTTCTATCAGAGGCCAAAGGTAGGTTTTCTGCCTTACATGGTTTCCACTCGTGGACATTAAAGGTAAGTGGTTTCATAAAATGTGTGGTCTTTTGTGAGTGGCTTCTTTCACTTAGTGCCCTGCTTTCAAGTTTCTTCTGTTTTGTGGCCCTTATTGGTGCTTCATTCCTTTTTTATTCTATTACATTCTAGTATATTACTGTGCCACATTTCGTCTATACATGCACTGGTTGGTGACCCTCCCCCACTTGGGGGTACTTACTTATTTATTTACTTAGCGTTTTTGAGGTAAGAGTGTCTTTATGCAGTTCAGATTGGCCTCGAACTCTGTATGTACCCTAGGCTGGATTCAGATTCATAGCCATTCTCTTGCTTCAGCCTTACAAATTTGAGATTACAGATGTAGGCTACCACACCTAGCTCAGTTTGGGGCTATTTTGTCCAAGACTTCTACAATAATTTGTATACATGTCTTTGACGTATACTTTCGTATCTCTTAGTAAATTGATGAAAAATTGGGGTCATATTAAGTTTATTTTCAACTTTATAAAAAACTACCAAGCTGTTTTCTAAAGTGGCTGCACCCACTGAACCTTCCCACCAGCACCTTATTAAATTTCGTGACTCTCCTTACCTCTTAGTCTTCAGTAATGTTTCTGTCTTTCATAGTAGGTGGACAGTTGCCTCCCCTTGGGTTTTCATTTGCCATTGGGCTTGTATTTGTCTAATGAAAGGCCGTTTACTACACCATGAAATAACTTTATTAACTATCAAATGTTTTCTTTGGTGAAATGTCCCTTCTTCACGAGTTATCCAAATATTTATTTAAAATAAATGTTTGTCCTTCTTTTTTTATGGGAAAACATTTTCTTGGCAGTCAAATGCTAAGTGAAAAGGGATACCAGTTAGCAAAAGTCAGCCTGTGTTGTGTACAAAATTAGACCCTTAACAGATTCTTGTTGAATATCAAGTGAGCACATTGAATCTCAGTATTTTAGATTGAATGTCTTAGATGACCTGTTTTGTGTACCTATACATGTCCGTATCACTAAGAAGTATGTCCTCTGTTCTAACTAGTTTTAGGTACTTAAGCTCTCTGTGACACTGAAGAAAACCACAGCCTCTCTTTCCTTCCAGACATACATGTGTTCATTTACTCGTGTATATAAACACCCATGCAAAAGGTACCTTGCAACTCAAGTGGGTGCATCAGATACTTTCCAACCAAAGATAACACCTCATAGTTATACTCCACTTTAATGACCTCTATCTTTTCTAATATTTACAACTAGTTTGTAAAATAGGAAGCCAATACTATTGGAAGCCCATTCTAGAGGGAAAACTAAGGTTCCATGAGATTCCCAAGGATTATATAGACCAAAAAGAAAAATAAAAAGAATTCATGCCCTCATTTTTTGGCTTTGTTGTCCCATACTGCATCTATCAGATGCCCAGCTCATTGGGTTCCTGGGATTGGAGGGGCTGTTGGTTCTTGGAAGTTGGCAGCTAATGGCTATGGCAACATTCAAGATTCAGAGTAGCTTAATATCAACATTCCTAGAAAAGAGACCAGAAACCTAGAATTTTTATCTGCTTTAGTACATATCAGGAAGGTAGAACATCATATAATAATTGTACATGATCAAAAATATCACATTAGAGCAGGGGAGATGGCTCAGTAGAATAAGCGTTTGCCCAGCAAGCGCAAGGCCCTGAGTTCAATCCCCGGTTCTGAAAGAAAAAAAAAAATCACATTAAAAAATAAAAAAAAGATTTTGCATTCCTAAATGTCGTGGCTCGTTGTATGATTTTCCCAGAAACAACTTAAAGGGTAAAAGGAAAGAGGGAGCTATACATAAGGTCAAGAGGCCTTATTCTGTTGATAAGTAAGGTGTGTGCTCATTCGCTAAGAGCAAATGCATGCTAGGTCTGCATTCTGAGGACCCACCGTGCAGCTCAGATGCTTTGCTGGCCTCAGTAGCAGGGCTGAGGCCCCTCCAGGGTGGACAGTGCTCTGTAGCCTTTGCTGCAGTGCAACTCTAAGAAATTCACACAGATGGCTTGCACCACACAAACAGGAATAGCATTTGTCACACAAATTCTGCTCAAAGCTGCTCAAGTTGCATCTGTTTGAGAACCCTGAATCGTTGCCTAGTGGACTGGAGTTAAAGAAATGAGGATTATTGCCTCTTCTGCAGCCTCTAGCATGGCCCAGATTCCATCTGTGCTGATCTCAGCTGCTGCTGTGGCCACAGAGCCAGTGCAGCAGGAGGGGGTGCAGGCAATGGTGCCTATGCGTCCTACTTTTTTTTCTCAGTCTCCCCAGCCTGGGCACCTTTACACTACACTCACAGGACAGGCAGAGGTTGGAAAAGATTCTCCACGTGGTCTACTCCTCATGATGTCTGAACCATGCCACATTTCCCAATCCAATGTTTTTTAGAGATAAGGGACCACAAGAATCCCTCCTGTGACCTGACTGCCATGGCCTTGGGGCATTTAACTCCCCCCTTAAGCAAAACTCAATCCCTTGGTTTGGCAGTGATTCTTACACTGGTTTTGTTTGATTCCTTCTCCACAGCTTTGCCAAGTTCCCTCTTACG